TGACAGTTGAAGAATCAAGAGGGTTTTCAAGTATATATGCTTGGATCCATGGATTGCATGTGCACTATAAATGCAAGAACTACCCATATGTTCAACAAGGGTAATAGCAGGGCCTTTTGTAAAAAGATCATCATCATTCTTGAAGTAGTTGCATCACGAGACCTTTGAATTTGGCATCCCTTCTTTGGCATGTGTGGGTCTCACAATGACATCAACGTGCTGCAATGGCCTTCATTGTTTGTGAAGTTTTATGCGGAGAAGCTCATGCGTGCAACTATACCATCAATGGTCATAATACATCATGGGATGTCATCTTTGTGATGGTACCTATTCTCCGTGAATGATCTTCGGAGCTACAAAGGGGAAGACTAGCACAAAGATGGTTGAAGAACTATCTCTAAGTTATTTTTTACTCGAAAGCCGGTTGCCTTTTTTACGATAAAGCCGCCTTTACTATGCTCGCCATCAATTGATACTGGTTTAGCTTCAGCGGAAGGATGGGGAATCAGAAGAACATGGGGGGAAGAAGTAGCTACGCCTAACTCAAGATCTAGGACACCGTCTTACATGTTAGAAGAAGACACCACACATAGAACAGCTGAGTCCACCTCGCATGCTGGATGCCACCTCAACCGGATAGCAATGAAGCCAAAAATAAAATAAAAATACAAACGTGATTATAAGCCAGCCAAGCTCAGTTGAAACCATACAACAACGAAGCAACCGATCGTAATTGCCCACGTAAAAAAAGGAGGCTTAACTCATGAATGAAATGCGGCGCGGCAAAGCGCGCGTCGGCGTCACCCACTAATACTATTTATCTTTGATTATTTTGATGAGTACTCTGACTATATATAGTTAAAAAAAAACTGGGACAGACGTTCCTTGCGCTGTCCGTGTACACGTCAAGCACAGGTCATTGACAAGGCCTAGAAAAAGAAAAAGTGGGATGGCACATGTGGTCAGCTCAAGAAAAAAAATGGCACATGGTAGCAGACACGGTCGTGGCTGGGCACACCTTTTGGATCCGCGCTGGAGTATCCTGCGGTCCCACGTGTCATGGGTGCGCTCACGCGGTGAAACCTCTGTCCCGTGACCTTCCGGCAAGACCCCACACGGAGGACGTCTGACCTGGGTAGACTGGCTCTTGCTTGGTCTTCAAGGGGAGATGGCAATGGCAATGCGGACACGGGAGTGAGCTCCATTTCTAACGCCCTTATCTAGCCAGGGCTCTGCACGGCACGCAATGAAGTAAGAGCAGCTCCAACACGGCGACCCATTTCGTCTGCGAATGTTTGTTTGGGTTACCGCGCATAGAAAAGTCGGCCCAACGCACCGACTCAAACGGACGCGTGTCCGCTTTTCGTCCTCCTGGTGACCCATTTCTGGTCCAAATTTAGGCCTTATTTGTGTCGGCACGGACGCGCGCGACAAATGGACTCGCCGACGAGTTCTTTTTCGACAATTCCCTTTGCGACTCCGGTGATGAGGAGATGGTGGCTGCTGTGTTGGTCCATGACCACCTTAGTACGCAGCGGCCGTTGTTCCGGGGCACACTCCAGCGTTGAATCGCAACCGAGAGAGCGGCCATTTCCTTCTTTGGAAGGACTACTTTGAGACAACCAAACCGCTCTTCAAACATCACCAATTCTGGCGCCGTTTTCGTATGGCTAGGCATGTTTTCAGTCGTATTCGAGAGGATGTGGTCGGATACGATAAGTATTTCGAGTGCAAGGAGGATGCCATTGGAAAGATTAGCTTGTCCTCTTATCAGAAATGCACTAAAGCTATCTGGATGCTTGCATACAGAGTGCCCGGTGATCTCATTGATGAGTACGTCCGTATGAGCGAGTCTACGTGCCTAGAGTCCATGTACAGGTTCTGCAAGGTTGTGATTGCAGTGTTTGGCCCTGAGTACTTGAAAGAGACGACTGCTGAAGATACGACCCGCTTGTTGGCGATCAATGCCAGCAGGGACTTCTCAGGGATGCTTGATAGCATAGACTGCATGCACTAGGAGTGGAAGAACTGCCCTTCTGCTTGGCAAGGGCAGTATAGGGGCCATGTCAGCGCTTGCATTGTCATACTTGAGGCCATGGCCTCACAAGATCTTCGAGTTTGGCACTCTTTCTTCGGCATGGCCGGATCGCATAATGATATCAACGTGCTTCAACGCTCGCCGATGTTTGGAAGGCTTGCTGAAGGCAACAACCCGCCGGTGAATGTTTACATCGACAGCCACAACTACAACAAAGTATACTACCTAGCTGACGGTATCTATTCTCAGTGGGCCACTAGTGTGAAGACAATCCCCAACCCTGTCGGAGAGAAAAGGAGGAGATTTGCCCAAGAGCGGGAAAGTGCTAGAAAGGATGTCGAGCGTGCCTTTGGTGTTCTGCAATCTCGATGGGGCGTCGTTCAGTATCCTGCTAGAACTTGGAGCACCAAGAAGTTGTGGGAGGTGACGACTGCTTGTGTGATCATGCACAATATGATCGTAGAGGATGAGCACCCGAAACGTATCTACAATCAAGGGTATCAGTTTCAGGGTGACAATGTTGTGCATGAGCATGGAGGAGGAGCGGCAATGTTTGCACAGTTCACCCAATTTCATCATCAAATCCGTGATTGGTAAATTCACAAGATGATTTGGTTGAGCATATGTTGGCAACCAATAGATGTATCTTTTTTTAAATGTATTTGGGACAATTTAATTTTAATTCGGCTTGTAAACTACGATATATTTGGG